GCCTGCCCTTCAATCCCCATTCCTTCCTTCCTGGCCTGCCCTTCCTTCCCCTTTCTTCCTTCCTGGCCTGCCCTTCAATCCACATTCCTTCCTTCATGACCTGCCCTTCCTTCCCCTTTCTTCCTTCCTGGCCTGCCCTTCAATCCACATTCCTTCCTTCATGACCTGCCCTTCCTTCCCCATTCCTTCCTTCCTGGCCTGCCCTTCCTTCTCTCTTCCATCCTCCCTCTCTCCTGGTACCTATTGAGACACTTGCGCCAGGGTGTGAGACCCCAGATCTCCTTAACGGCCAAAGGGAAAGGGAAGGGAAAGGAAAATAAAAAAGCAAAGGACAAGACGGAGGACAAGGGTGGTTGTTCTGTTCCTCTCCCCTTCCCGTGGGGTCTGGCCCCTCGGGCTGCAGCACCCACATGGGGGTACTGCATAGGGATGCAGAACAGTGAGGGCCACAAGCAGCCCATTTCTTTTCAGCCCCATGTTCTCTGTGCATAAAAAATAATAGTAGAAAAACAAGTATAGGGAAGAACATGGRGAAAAAAAACATTTAAAGAGATCTTAAACTTCTTGGCCTCTTGCTGGCAAGAAGATCCTGGTTATCTCAGTGTCTGCCAGGCAGAAGAGCCGTGGTGACCCCTCTGTAAGGAGGTGCTGAAGCAAAATGGTAACTTCAGTTACTCCTGGTGCCATTGGGTGCCCTGGTGGCTCTGCGCGTTGCGGCCCCTGGGCAGAGTGCTGGGCGGCACTGACAGGGCGCCCGGAGCGGCCGCGGGCAGGAGGGTCCACGTGGGGCCACAGGCAGGAGGCCCCACGCGGGGCCACAGGGGGCTGCGGGCAGGAGGCCCCACGCGGGGCCACGCGGGGCTGCGGGCAGGAGGCCCCACGCGGGGCCACGCGGGGCTGCGGGCAGGAGGCCCCACGCGGGGCCACACGGGGCTGCGGGCAGGAGGCCCCACGCGGGGCCACGCGGGGCTGCGGGCAGGAGGCCCCACGCGGGGCCACGCGGGGCTGCGGGCAGGAGGCCCCA